TTTGTTTTTTTGGGGGGGGGGTTTGGTATACTCTTTGATTCCTAAAATAGCAATTCTATAAGGTGTGCCCTGAAAGAAAATAAAATGTTTGAAATCCAAGAATAATGGTTCTTACTGCTAAGAGGGTATAATAGTTACTACTAATGAATTTGATAGGCTTGCATTTTTCATGTGTTTTTTGCATTTCCAGTTGTAGTATAAATATGTTGTATTACTAAGGTGACTAAATAACCAAACCAAGTGTTTGTGTAAAAAAAGACTTGCCAAAATTTGACTGTTGATTCTTTCTTGAACATCCATCCTCTTAAAGAGAACGCCTCTTAAGGTGCCTCAAAACTATGCATGATGAAAATTCTTGTATTTTATTAAGGAATGGCCATTGATTTACTCACCACACTTATGGTATTGTGGCTATAAATATAGTTGCTTACAAAACTCTTTGTGATTTGTAGTGTAACTTAATCTCATCTATCTTATGTAAATATTAAATTACAGGATGTTGAATAATACCTTTAATAGATATAAACTGCTGTCAGTATTGACTTCAGAGCAACTGAGTAATCAAGTAGGTAAAAGCATGTTTCAAATAAAATACCTAGCAGGGTTTATACTTTGTATTGTGTACAGATTTAACAACATCCAGTATTAACTATGTCTTGACAGTTAATTTATCAGAATGAAAGTGAAGTTCTTTTTGTTATCTGACTCATAAAGATTTAAAAAAGATTTGTATTAGTATAAGACGTTTAGATCTTTATCCTGCTAAGCAAGGGGAAGTTTCATTGATATTGTTTGGACTCCCATGAACTTTGTTTTTAATTTACCTTAAACTACCATTCTTTTTATCCTTGCTTTTTTCTTCTTATTCAGAAAAGAACAAAATCTGACAGTGTGATAAGACACTAGCCTCTCGGGTATAGAGTGAAGCGAGGAATTAGGAGAGTTGATTGGACTGGGTCCTCTATCCCCCAGCTGCCAGGTACTTAGGAAGCAATGTGATGGAGAGTGAAGGGCATGGGCCCTGGGGTCAGGTGGCCTATCCCAGCGTCCACTCTTTACCTACAGGTGACCGAGGACACCTTGTCCAGCTTGTCTGAGCTTTAGGCTCCTCACCCGTAAGATAATGGTGAGAACAGTAACTGCGGAATTGTTGGGAGTATTAATAATTTATGTGTTAATATGTATAGAGGACTTAGAGCAGTGTCTGCCGCTTTTCACTTGATGTCCAGGACTGTGTAAGATAGAGAATATGCATGTCTTAATATTGTTTACCATTTCTTTTGTGGTCTTTGGTTCCTATAATAAATGTGTAGAATATATATTTGTATATTCACGTCGACATGATATTTAAAATAATTGCTACCACCCTCATTCAGCATAAGACTAACAGATGGAAGTCTCTAAATTGCTTGAAGATGTTTTGCAAAATACCAACTGCTCTATATTTCTTTAGAGTAAGTGTATAGTTATTAGCATTGATAGCTCTGGTTATATTTCTTTCTTAGGTCTTTAATATTAGAAGCCTTTTACATCCTTTTATTATAGATTCATGAAAGCTAATACTGACAAGGTTTTCCTTCCCATGATTTGGAATTATGTAAAAAGTCAGATGCAAAATATTGCAATTAGAAAATAAAATATTAAATAATGCCGTATGCAATTGATTATTTTCAAACTGTTTAATGACATTTTTAACTAAACTTATACGTGGTGATTTTCTTCTGAAAATTTGATTTAAAAAACTTGTGCTATATAAGGGAAATGTATATTTTTATGTTTTTTTAATTATTATTATTTTTGTGTGTTTGGTTGCTTGATTTGGATGAATCCATTCTATCAGACTTCACATACAGGGTTGCATTTTCTGGGTGAGTACGTTACAGACCTGTGCTGAAGATGACATTTCCTAATGGTCAATCAGATGTCCAGAATGACCTAAAATTGCCAAAATCACATTCAATGGATCCTGTTTTGTACTGTGCGAGGATATATAGGTAATCCTATAATACCTATATTTATCTTCTGGTCACCTTGCTCACTTTTAAAAAGCCTGTCTTTTTCTGTCCCGATCCAGGCTTTGTCCAGTTCACAACTTGATAATGGCAGATCAAAAAGTGGAGACAAAAGTAAAGTACCATTGCCTATTTGATCTACTGGACTGTCAGGTGTATAGAGTTGATTGGACTTTTGCAAATTTGATAAAAGTCAGTATATATTCATGATTTTAAATATATCAGAAATATAATAATTGGAATTTTAACTTGATAAAAGTACCAAAAACAGAAACTCACAATTTTTTAAGTCAATTTTAAGAGTTCCTGACAAGCAGTAAAAATTATTAATCTCATTAAATCCAACCCTTGAGTATACATCTTTTTAATATTTCCTGTGACAAAGTAGGAAGTGCTACATAAAACACTTCTGCATACTCAAAAGGAAAACATTTGTGTGATTGAGTTGCCAAGTGGCCACTGCTTTTCAAGAAATACCATTTTTACTCTAAAGAACAACTGACAAACTGGTCATTGAAACTTTGGTTTGTGGTCAGCATTTTCTCAAAAGTGAATGAAATGAGCCTGTCACTTCAAGGGAAACTGACAGCATTTGTTGGCAGTGATAAAATTTGAGCTTTCAAGTGAAAATTAAGACTTGAAAACTAGTGCCATTAGCTTGACACCTTCACAGTAAAGACTTCTGAAGAGATCAGTGATGGTATTAATGAATGTGACAGTTTAAATATTGTAGAATGAAATGTGTTGACATTTGGAAGCTCTTCGTAGCTGAGTCAGCCAATATTTTCTAAATGATAGTAGATTTTAATGTAACTAACTGCAAAGATCACTGATCCAGTGTTAAATTTCACACTGCAACTAACCTTTAAGAAATTACCATTTGTCAATATTGGGTGTAGTCTCAAGAACTAACAGTTATCTAACAACTATATACCTCTGAAGCCAGATTTTCTTCATATGCTTTAACCAAAACAACATACTGGAACACATTGATTACAAAAGCAGATATGAGACTCTGTCTTAGAGATTTGCGAAAATATGACAGTGCCACTCACTTTTTTCTTTTGTTACTTTTCATTCAAAGTATGTTAAAGCATTGGGTTTATTGTTGAACTAATACTAAATATTTTTTAAAATTTTTCGTACATCCACATTCATAGTTATACCCACAAGTGAACTTGTCATTTCAAGGACAATGGATAGTGTTTGTTGCCAGTATTACATTAGTACTTTCAAGTAAAATTAAAAGTTTTGGGGAAATCCACCGCCATTAACAGATATAAAAGTTATTTGGGAGTCTCAATTATATGTGTAAAGTAGGGGTTGGAGAGCTTTCTCTAAAGGACCAAATAGTAAATATTTTTCGGCTTTGTAGGCCACGTGGTCTCTTAAACGACTCAGTTCTGTCATTTAGTGTAAAAGCATCTGTAGACAACACGTAAACCAAATGAGTGACCGTGTTCCTACAAAATTCTGTTAACGAAAATGGGTGGCAGGCTTCATCTGGCCCCCAAGCCATACTGCCAACCCCTGCTTTAAAGGCTCTGAGACGAAAAAAAAAAACTTGGGAACAACTGCACTAGACTAACAACTAGATATAATAGATTTTAAGATACCATTCAACTACAACTAGATTTTTATGAATTTAACCTAATGGAAAAAGCCAAGCAAACTAATGTCATTTTGTTAAACACAGCTTAAATAGACATTGTGTTCATAGATGGTATGACGTGTTATAAAAATGACAATTCTCCAAATTAATCTCTGACTTTAATATGATTCCAATATTCCAGCTGGATTGAGGGGCGGGGGAAGAGTGGTAGAAAAACTGACCCTAAAATAAATTCATATGGAAATTATGATTTCCCCAAATTCTAAAAAGCAAAGATTCTACACAAAAAATTCTAAAAAACTTCCAGATATTTAACTCACCCATAAGCCATAGTAATAAAGAATAGATACCATAACAGACGGATCAGAATGAAGAGCTCGGAGTGAAGTCCATATACATACAGGAATTTGATATATGATAAACGTGGTTTCAAAATTTGGGAAAGGATTAATAGATGATGCTGGGGAAACCACATTTTACAGTGAAAAATAAATATAGATCTCTATCACTATATACAGGAAATAAATTGCTTTAGAGTAAAGGTACATCTATAAACTAAGGGAGGAAAATAATAGCCTTTCTTGGAGCTAGGGAAGTATATATTAAGCAAGACATCTTTGATCTTTGTACTTTCTTCTAACTACATGATGCTGCAGTTTGAGTATCCGTTTTGCTTTGACTCCCAACTCCACCGGGGTGAAGGGTGGCAATAAACTTCCCACAATTTGACCTTTTATATCTGCATTAAAAAACTTAAAGCATTAACCATAAGAGGAAAAATTGATAGATTTTATTTTGCGACCATGGGAAATATTGGATCAAATAAGAACTATGAAATGCTAAATCTAAGGGGAAGTTTTGACGGAGTAGAATATTTACATGGCCTTAAAGTGCCTTCCCACAGATTGCTTATTAGTTGCAAGGGAAAAATAGTACCTCTACAGTGGAGCAATTGACAACCAATTTGATAAAGTCGTATGCATGTTATATTCACTGAAGTTGATAATTCATGTGATTGTGCAATATCCTTATTCTTAGGCAATACACTTTGAAGTATTTAGGGGTAAAGGGTCATGCACACATATGTATGCAAATTATGAAACAGTTGATAAAAAATATTAGATATATAGAAGTACAAATGATAAAATGGGTAAAATGGCAATGATAGGTGATAGGTGAATCTGAGTAAAGGGTATATGAGTGTTCTTTGTAAACTCTTATTCTTGCAACTTTTCTATAAATTTGAGATTATTTCCATATAAGAGGCTTTTAAAATGGGTTGATTTTGGCATAAAAAGGAGGTTTGCTTATCTTAGAAAAGGTTAGTTGACTAGTGTGAAAAATTTGCAACATTTAAACCCACAAGGAATTATCTAGAATAGGAGAAACTGGAATTCAACAAGAAAAAGACAAATAGCTCAATAGAAAGATGGGCAAGGATTGAATAGGCAGTTTACAGAAGAGTAAACCAGAACGAATGGCTAATCTATTTCTGAATGACTTTTATACAGCTGCAATGAGTAGATGTCGAAAACAGTTCCAAGCAAAGAAAAACAAACAGAATGGTAACTTGTACAATATTATATAAATTAAAGCCTTGCGTATCTTCACAAAACTATATCTTTGAAAAATAAAGCTACAAAAAATACATTGAACAGAGGAGGTATCTATTACTAGAACGAGGGCTGGGAGTGTGAATAGAAAGTAAAAAGAGGAAAAAATAAAACTAGAGAGGGGTGCTACTCATGTCAGCAAGCCACGAGCTCAAGAAGTGGATGAATTATAAACTTGTACCCAAGATCTGTAAGAAAAAAAAAAAAAGGAAAAAAGTGGAAAACAGCTCCCATGCTCTAATTAACTTGGCTCAATCTTACTGGGTTACAAACAACTTTCTTTATAGCCAAGAGGCCAGCCCCCACTTGCCCGCTTTCCTGCTCAATTGTGTCCAAACTCCCCTTCTGGCTTTCTCACCAAGGTCGCACCCTACTCCCCTCCCGGTACAACTTCGGGAGTGTCAAGAACACGTTCATATTTTTATTCCACAAAGGGACTTTTTCCAAGCTTTTTGCTAGGAATCCAGATGCCCGTTCCAGAGGGTTTTAGCTTTTTTTTTTTTAAATTTTATAATTTACATACTATAAAGTTCACCAGTTAATGTAAAATTAAGTGGTTTTTTTTAGTATACTCATAGAGTCAACCATCACTATAATTCTAGAACATTTTCATCATCCTCCAAAGAAACCTTGTACTTTTGTTCAACTTCATTTGGCTTTTTAATCCTGTATTTCTCTCTCCCCTAGGGGTGGGAGTTAGAACCTCAGAGGGCTGGTCACCGTCCAACAGAGAATCGTGCAGCTCCACTGGGATGGATGATCACTTGGCAGGCTATACCTGGGTAAACACCTGGAGGCTTGAGCTGGCTATGCAAAGATGTATTTTAAAAGGTGATAAATGCTCATGGCAGGGGTAAAAGGATGCCCAGGGAAGACAGCCCCTACACACACACACACACACACACACACACACACACTTAACGACCCTATTTCCAAGGCTACACACACGTTTAGCAGTTTCTCCTGCGTCTTCCCAGAAACGTCCTCCTCGCCGAGATTTCTCAACTGCGCATTATTTGCACACCAGGAAAAAAAGAACCATAGAATAGCTCTCGGGTGGAATCGGCAGGGGAGTGGGGTATGGTTGGAAGGCCGGGGTCCATCCGACTGCGCGCCCTTACCCTTCCTTGAAGGTCGCCCCTGCTGATTTACTGGAGTTCCGCCCTGGGTGGCCGCACGCCTGGCTGGGGGGAGGGAGAACGGAGAGCCCGCCTCCCCGCGACTAGAAAACTGGAACCGGCTTGATGGGAGGGTCCACTGCGTCTGCACACGACGGCACTGACCCAAGGGGCACCTGCCTGAGGCCTTAACCCGGAACTGTTTCCAGAGCTCCAGCGCTGAGTATGTTTGTGGACGCCCTAGTGTGTGTGAACGTATGCGAGCCTTGTGAGGATGTGTGTGCACGGTGTGTGAGAACGTGCGTTCTGGGTGAGCACATGTGTGCACGTGGTGTTTGTGCGCTTTGTTCACACGCCGTGAAAATGTGTGCGCACACTGAGAAACTGCATCCTATGTGTATAACGCTTTGAGTGTATGGGGAAGTGTGTTTACACTGGTGTGTGCACGTCGTGTGTGCATGCGCGCTGAGTGAGGACCGGTGGGTGTTCACATCGCACGTGCACGCGGTATGTGCGCGCGCTCTGAGAACTAGTGCGCACATTGCATGTGCACCTCGTGCGTGCGTGCTGTGGTGAGAACCGTTGAGCACATTGCGAGTGCACGCGGTGCGAGGACGCGGACGCGTGCGGGCGTGCGCGGGTCCGGTGCGGTGCGGCGCGGCGCGGCGGTCCAGGCAGTGCGCCTGTGCAGCCAGCGCATCCCGATGGAGCGCGCCGGCGGCTGCGGGGCGGAACCTGGGACGGAGGGGACTGCGCGGGGCCACCAGTTCCCCGGGAAGATGGCCGAACCGAGTGCGGTGCGGACCTCGCCACCCAACCACCGACTTTCAGGTAGGGCCCCTGGGGTTCGGCCGGTGCCTGGAGGCTTTAGGCCCCCCAGGGGGGCGGGTCCGACCCGCCGCGGGCGGTGCAGGGCAGCGGCTCTGGAGCGCATCGGGTGGAGAAGAGGCACAGGGGTTGTCTGAACGCCCTTCCTCTGGCTCGGGGTCGATAGGGCACGGGATCAAGGGCTGCGCCTCTCGCGGTGCGGGTGGCAGGGTCCCCTCTCATGGGGCCTGAGTGAGTGGGTGCGCTTGGGGTGATCTAGGGTGGGTGGCATGTGTGTTTGGCGTGGGGTGCCGAGGCCCACGCTTGATGCCCTCGAGTCTGGGGGCCCTCCTCTCAAGAGGCAGGCAGGGGGGACACTGGGCCAGACGGAGCGGGCTCGGAAGGATTGCCCGGGCCTGCGTGCCCGCCCACTCTGCGTCTAGAAAAACGCGCGGCTGCAGCCAGCCGCGAAGGTAGCCAAGCTGCGTGCTTTGCAGCGTCCCCGAGGGGCAGAAACCGCGGGTCACCCACTGGCAGGTGCGGATGGAGCGCCGCCGAGGCGGCTCGGCGCGAGCCCCGGGTCGGGTTCCCCGGACGTCCTAATACGCTCCCAGAGACCTTGGGTGCGCTGCCCAGGGGTCTGGCGGGTCGCGGCCCCTTCACATGGCAGCGCGACACATGAGTCTCCCAGCCCGCGAGGCTGCAGCTGCTGGGAGCTATGGAGGGCTGGTCCCCGGACTGGCTGCCCAGAAATGAGCGGAGCAGGGGGAGATTTTGAGGACATTTGTCGGAATTTTAGGCAAGTCTCGCGTCTTCTAACGTTTTGTAAAGTGGTTGCAGGTAGTGAGGGGGTGTAAGTAGCGTGGAAACCGATTTCATGCTGTTTTTCTTGGCAACACCTTTTTTTTTTTTAGTTAATGTGAGCTATTTTTAAAACACTTTTAACTGCAGTATAACATGCATACCACAAAAGCACACATATCTTAAGTACACGATTTGGAGGATTATCACATTGTGAAGATCTGAGTATTTTATGTAACATGTACGAAGAAAGAGAAAGAAATTAAGGGAAATGTTCTTTAGTCACTTAAAACGTGCTTTTCATTGGGGGAGGGGAGTTATTTGTGATTGAGCCTTCATTTGCATCCTTCATAGAAGGAGGAGGTGTCTTAAATCTTTCCCAGTTTGCGTTTTTCATCATGCATTTTTAAAAGTAGAATTTAACAAATATCTCAGGATAGTGATATAAATACTATAAATATGTACTTCTGTTTTTATCCTTTTTGCTTCAGAAACTCCACTGCATCTGCTAGGGAAGAACCCAGAATCCACTGTGGGGGGCACAAAAAAAACTTTCCTCCCACCTTGTAAATTCTTGTAGCTGGGCTAACAATCAGATTAACAGACAGATTAACAAAAGAAAATACAAAGTTTAACACAGATGTGCATGTGGGGGTGTTAATGTTAAAAGATGTGAGACAGCGAACACATTGGGCAGTTGAGGCTCATAAGCCATTCTGGACAAAGGAGAAGGGGGGCAGGGGTCTGGGATTTCAGAGGGGAAGTAGGTAATTCACAGGTAGGAGAAAGAGCAAACATATGGTAAACATTTC